CTGGGGCTTAATTTTCCACTTTGTGGTGGGTTTCCGGTTACTATATTTGACGGCGAAAAATTCGTCACAGTTCAGAACCGGTGCTCCAATTGTTATAAAATTCGTTGCCATATTTGAAGTACCATTCGTTTGCGACACATAATGAATATCAAAGTCATCTTTAATTGCAGCTGACGAGCATGCTAAACTGTGAAAAATTGATTACAGCCAGAACTTTTTGTGAAACAACTAGTACTCTGATCAGAAACTGTTTTATCGTTGACAGAGCTGGCTACCTTTCCCTTTCTATGCGTTTTGTGCTGTGTAACAGCAGTTGTGTTCGCAGCAACTTGTCCGCAACTTTCAACTTGGGAACCACAAAAGCTAGGACGCTGAAAATTTAGGGGAACGTTCCTCCCTACGTGTGACTCCGCAAATATAAATTCAGCCTCCTCTTACCCGCAGGTAACAAGTACGGCCCCTAAAGGTCTTGACGGGTAAAATTATTACCACCGGAACGACAGAAGCTAGAAAGCTGAAATTTTGTGAGCGTGTCACTGCCCACGTGCTACCCACAGAATTTAAACTTAATCTTTTCCTGCCCACGAGTAACACGAATGATTCCGTGAAAATTTTGACGGTAAAATATTATCTGGGGAAGCACGATTTCGGGGAAGCTGAAATTTTAAGGTAATGGCCCCCTGTTCACGCACGATCTTGCAAATTTCACTGGCCCGCAGGCGATACCTAAGAACGTTCCCGCGCTCTTAGGTATCGCCTGCAGGCCAGTGAAAATTTTGGCAGGCAAGTTATCGTCTCGAGAACCACGAGATGTAGGAAGCTGAAATTTTAGCGTGGCATCCCCTGCCCACATGCAACTCCTCAAATTTTCAACGTCCTCGTGGAAGTTTTGTTGAGAAAAATCATTATCTCGGGAGCCGCAAGTGCTAGGAGACTGAAAATTTCAAGAGAAAGTTTTCTGCCCAAGAAGGGCTTCACAAACTCAAATTCAGTTCTTAAGTATGCCGAGGTCGCAAGTACAAAGTCTTGTCTCAAAGACCGTTCGAGAGCCAGAAAATTAGGAGATTGAAATTTTGGAAGGATATTCACCATTCGAGATTTCAAATTCAGCTTTCTCGTGCTGCCGGTGAAATTTTTAACTATTTTTTGGCGTTTCAATTATTTTTGAATAGACTAAAATACAAAGCAGTGAAAATCATTAACAGGCAATCGTTCGGTGGACGGAATTGCACAAAACACATGGTTGCACCGGCTATCCTGGTGCGCTCCGCTACTCATTTATTTTGGGCCTCTCTTATTCAATAATTCAACGATCCGTTCGAACAAATTCTTCCACTGCACTCAGAGCCTTCCCTTTATCCTCTTAACATTGTATGGGTATCATTCAGTTACCGGCTTTTGTTCATCCGTTGTCTCTCTTTCTTTTCACAGTTCAAACAAGTTCGGCAAAAGTGAAAGCGTGAGACCAGGACCTTTCGAAACTAAAAGCGAAGTTTTTGATAGAAATTTTTGAAGAGCAATTTGGAAAATTCTCATTCTGTTTACACATACATATTCCAAACCAGAGAAATAATTTTCGTTGCTGGTATTAAAGTTAACCGTGGGAAATGAGCTTTCTTAGATGAAATTAATGCTTATTTTTCGGCACTGACAAACATGTTACGCATTGGATTTCTTAGTATCTATCAAGGAAAGTTATTTTTGGAGTGGCATTGTTTGACTGGCTCATGCAGTTCCGAGCGAAAAATCTCTTCTAGCTGAAGTTCGCGCTTGAAAGAGATTTTCCTCAATAAAGCCGGAAGTTAGCAATATCAGTCAGCAAACGTCCCTCGTCAAATTAGTCTTCCACCCCAGAACTGTGAAACGACCGCATCAGCGAAGCGTTTACCGAAATCAGGAATTGGAACTGGCATTGTTGAGCCGTATCCGGGATAACTATCCGGTCTTGCAGGTATGAAAAATTTCTGCATTGATATGATCACAAGAAATGGTGCATCACCCCACAGATAGATTGTGAATGCTTCGCTGGAACCATTATAGATATACATAGGAGAAGATTCCTCCACCTGGAAAAAGAAAAACACTTCAGCGAAAATTGGAACTGTGCCAAACTAATTATACCGAGATTACCAATATCGCCAGGCAATTGTTAGAATAGTTACTGTAATGCTACCTTACACCATGTACAGCCATGTTAAGCTTTAATATCAAATTCTGCTTTAAAAAAGTTAAAAAGGAATTCATAGACGAAGAACTGTTTTTATCAAAAAGTGCTGAATAAAAAAATGGATTCTTTATGCAGTTTTTATGCGTTTTGTGCTGTGTAACAGCAGTGCGAAACGCATATTGTTACGGGGTTGTCTGTGTGTGTGTTTGTGTGTGTGTGTGTGTGTATGTCCGCAG